CCAATCTCCCCTCTTTTTTTCCACTCGTGTTTCTTTTTGCGCTCGCCGCGTACGATTTAACTTGCTCCCTACTATCTAAACGCGTGGAACAGGTTACTGGTTATGTCAAGTTTTTCCTTATATCGCGGGGACTCGAAACACGCAAGATTGATTGTACATTCTCTCGTGGCATTTAAATGAGTACCTTAAAAAAGATACGCGCCCCGGCTTATACTAGGGATAAACAGATTCTAAAAGTAGGTTTGAAAAAAATTCTTCATGTTTTTGTCTATTCACGACTACGAGGTGGGCACATATGCAGAAATGGCATCTCTCTTATAAAACAGTCTTTCTAACCTGGAGACTGAACTGTCAAAAAGATTCAGACTATTCGGAATGCAAATTTTGAGTAATTTTGTAAACAATACGATGTTTTGGGTCATTAAATTCGAATGGTCTAGTGATTTTCAGTACAATTGAAATATTTGGTTAGGATTCCCTAAAGACGCCCCATTTCGTGCTTCTGTGAAGCTGAGCACTCAGAAAGAAATTTAACATTGACAAGGTTAAAAAAAATAGAAAAATACAAAAAGGAAGTCTGGGTAATAGGTTGTTTAACTTAAAAAAGAAAAAAAAAAGGGGGGGGGCCGCACCCTCCCGACCCTCTTTCTTGCCGTTCAGGATCGTTCAGGATCCCATTCGTGCGTGACGTCACGCACCTCTGTTCAAAGCACAACTGTCAAAATGGCTTTCGCTAATTCAAAGACATAAATTTTAATGATGAAAAAGACGGAAGAAACATTTCTTTCATGCTGAAGACACCACAGCGGTAAGTGCGCTCATGGATTGTTAGCATCGTCTCTTCTGTTTGTTCGCCGTATTGATCTCAAGAAGTTTGTTTACCGTTATTTAAGTGGTCTTACGAGATTTCTAGCTTCTGTTACTACTTTTCGTTATGAAGGCGTCAATAACCAGTTTTATTTTGTTGCTTTGTTTTCCGCGGTATTATTTGAAAGTCATACGCTATTGATTTGTCCTCTCTGGGGCTTAATTCATTCTTTCGTTTTTAACTGTTTCAAACCGAAGAGGGAAGCCAATCTTGGCTTTTTAAATGTAGGCAAGTGGTATAAATGGCGCGATAATATCGAGTTTCCTCGTGTAATATCGGCGAAAAGAGCTTGTATTTTCTTGTTTAGTAGAAATATGGTACGCGTCTGAAAAATACTAGCCTACAGAATAAGTAGATAGTAATGACATGTTTAAGTTTAAGGATGAGACGACTTTATTTCATCGTCTTAGAAGAGCTCATATACAGAAGGAAATATCCGTTGCCGACGTTGTTGTGTTTATGGGTTACCATGCCGAAGGCCCCATCAGAGGTTAATCCTAGCTAAAATATTCAATGATGTGAGGAGCTTCCTTAATTGTTAATTATTTCCCCTCGATGATAATAAAAATGTTTCTTTACTCGTCTGTTTTTTCATCCCTACGAGAGTGAAATCAGCCTTTTAAACGTACGCAAGGAGTAATTTTTGAACGCTGTGTTGCTGTCAGTAATTTCCTGTGGTTTTTCCTTTGTTGACTAACAGGGTGAAATCATCTGCGAAGTCGTAATAAAGCTTTTTAAAATTAAGTAAGCCAAGGCAATTTAAGATGTATTTTTTCAAGACAGCGGTCTTCACCTGTATGTTAAAGCAGATAAAGGCAAGTTCAGTTGCATTCAGCCGCAATTTTAAATTTTTCTTTTTCAAAGGGAAAGAAATTTGGGATTTTTTTCTCGAATCAAAAGTATTATTTTAAATTAAAAGTTTTTCAAATTGTCATTTATTGTGCTTGCTTCTTATGGCAGCGAAAAGATCACAAGACATTTGACTTTATTTTAGGCATTTATTTTATTATTTTATTTTATTGACATATTTATAGTTTAAAAAATATCTGTCAAAGGTAGATCATTGACTGGAGAACCTTTATAGACAGAAATGAAAGCCAGATGACCACATTTAAGGCCACATTTGATGCGTTTGTAGGAACACTGACAACAAAAAACTTGTCTTCGCATGGTTCTCCTCAATGACTTCGAATTTTCTCGACAATACTTGCACAAAAATACAAAATATGGCGTTTAAAACTTCGCAAATGGACCAAATAGTTCTTGAATACCGATATTATGGCTTTCTTGGGCGTCTCAGGGACAGAAATCAAGTTGCCGCACATGCTTTAAGACAAACAGTTGAAGTAAATCAAAGCAATGGAGGAAACTTGAGAATCTGAGAAAAAAATTCTAAGGGTCCAAAACCAAAATCATTGAAAAATTAAAAGGAATAAGTAAACAACAAACAAAAAATAACCAAATAAAGTCAAATTATATGCATACCCGTAATTTTGATACACCAGGCTATTTTTGTAATCTACTTCTGCTTAAATTTACTTGGAAATTTGCTAGAAAGTGTCAGTTTTCTTAAATTATAAAAGGTCTGTTCAAAATAAGAGGAATTTTTTTTGCCAGTTATGCGATAAGACACAAATTGCTAAACGGACTTCATGTGACTGGAGGGTCCTCAGCATGATAAAAAAGTGCTTAGAATATCATTAACTTTGTAAGCCAATGTAGTGTTGTCTGCTTTCTTGTTTGAAAGTTCTGCTAGAGATATCATTTCTGAAAATAGTTTTCTGTACAGCTGCCCATTTGATTTGAACTCTAAACCCAACCATAGTCTGTAGAACATTATTATTCTAGTGTGCATGGATCTAGCTGGATGCATGACTTTCAAGCTGTGTTCATCCTTCTGCACTGCTGATGTCACAAAGAAAAGTATCATGCTGTGTCCCATATTAATTTAATTGTAAATAATCTTGGTAACGTGCATTGAAAACCCGTGAGTCAGGAGAAGTCAGTTCCTTAATTTTTCAACGAGGCAGTCAACCTCTTTTCCTGTCTTTCGTTAATCTTTGTATATGTTGTAGTTAATTTTTTATCTCAGGTGGTTTTTGTTTTAATTCTTTTGTTTTTGGATATGGTAATCTATGCTAATGAAGTTGAAACAAAGGAAAAATAAAAATAACCTGAGATAAAAACTTAACTACAACATATATCTTATAAACTTTTCAATGGTTGTTTTGTTGGATCAACTATTCTATTAGTCAAATTACCTGTCAATGCTGTTCATCAATCAGTGAGTCATTATTCCTGTAAGCAAGTCAAAGAGTGAGTCACTTAGGACCTTTAAATATGAGGTGAGCGTGTTTGGCTCATGCCTTGTTTGTGTAGTTCAAAGCCAGGCTGCCTTTTCATATAAAGATAACAAAAATCTTAGGAGGAAACAAGGCGTGAGCCAGCCCGCCGAGCTGGACTCATGATCACCTTGTTTTGTTTTGTTTTGTTTTTTTCCACAGCTTTATTGGGTATTCCTCTTGTAATATACAATATAAATTTATAATACAACACAAAAAAAAGAAAAGAAAAAAGAAGGAAAAACCCAAAAGGGGTAGGTGCAATGGGACTAACGTCCCATACGAGGCACCGCCCCTAGATTAGGACCTAGGTTAAAATAAAATAAAATGAATACTCAAACATTCGTACAAAAAATAAAGTAAATTACAAGTGGTATGGGCACGTAGGGACTAGTGTCTACATGCAGGGGTACTAGTCCCTACGTGCCCATGCCACTCGTAATTTTTTTTAACAGGCCCGTAGTCATCAAGCAATTCAGCGTTTATATCAGTCAAGGAGTTAGCCAATCAGTTTATAATTATTATTACTTTAATTAATTTAATCAGTGAACTTAATGTTTGAGGAACCATCATAATATAGGAAAACCAAATTCAACATTTGTTTTATTATTCATTGAAAATATTTTGTACTTCAAAACTGCTTAGCTCAATAGATGTATACGGTTCATGTCTTCATAAGTCAGTAAATTTGGTATATAAAAGGATGTTCAGTCTAGCAGATGTACTGCGAATAGCAGTTGTCATCCATGGAAGTAATATTATTTGTTGCTGAGTGTTCATGCTATATTCAAGGTAGCAGTTTGACTGTTTCTTCTTTGCAAAATATGGTAAATTTTCTGCCATTTTCTCCAGCTCTACCTAAACAGCTGAGCTGCTTCTTAATTGTAAAAGTGACTCACTTGATCATCTGTAAGAATATCAGCAAACATATTCCACATGTGGTCAATGGTAGCTTGTTATGAAGATTTATTTAGGAGATTTGAGCCAATCAGAAGCAGCGATTGAGGAATATTTTGAATGAATAATAATAATAAAAAAATTAATGGAAGTTATAAATCCTTTAATAAGAAACTCATAAATACACTGTAATTTAATTGCGTTTTTCTGTTAATAGAGCTGATGTCTGCTTCACGGTACAGTCCTACAGATAGTGGCTACTGGTCTTCACCCCGACTGAAAAAGCCAACTAATCTCAATGCTGTGAATCTTGACCATAATCAAAATGTTAGGGATACACTGCAATCTGTGCATGGCATCAAGTCACTGAGTGAACCATCTTCTCCACAATTCTGGCACAAAGGTAATAATGATGAAAAGATCAGAAATAATAGTCATGATCTAAGTCTTAAAAACGATATAAATTTCACGTGAAAAAAAGTCAAATGCTGATTCAGGAATAGTAAAAAATCAATCACAAATGTTTTGGTACAGCTGACTACTTACATGTAAATTGCTGGTAACATATTGTGTTATTGAATGCATTGCCTGTTACATTTTACGTTTGTCTTTTATTACAGAAGTTCTATACTAGGGCATCTGTAAATTACGAAGTAGTTTTTAAGGCAGTCATTTATAAGGGCTTGGGGCTGTGGATTTTTCCTTTCATGACACTAGACAAATACCCAGTTATCTCTATTTATTTCCCAACCTACTTCAAAAACTAGTGACAGCCCTGACAGTACTTATGGCAGTACTATTAAATTATTGTTCTTTGTGTTTAACTTTTCAACAAACTGTTTTGTGTAACTTCTTATACAAGTATCAAATGCTGAAACTCAAAGCCATGTGGAAAAAAATCTCGCATCACAGAACAGCAGACACAAGCGCTATGCACTCACAAGACAACAAAGTGAAGGAACTGAATTAGCTGAACTTCTTGCGGAACATCAAGAACGTCAGATACGGAGCATGCAGGGACTGAATGTTGGGTTACATGGAAAGTGGGGATCTAGCTCAAGAATAAATGAACTTCATGTTCAAACAAATACATCTCATCCTTGTTTGAATGCCATTGGACTAAGACATTTGGAGCAAATGCCATTAAATAATGCAGCCACATTAACTTCTGGCAGCCATGGAGTTGGAATGTCTAGCCAAAACAGTCAACAAGTGATGCATACTGGTAAGAAATACTGCAGAATCTTGACTTTCTAAACCTCCTGGGAAGAGGAGGTTTGTATGAATTGAAGTTATAGTCGTATAAACATAACAACTTTCTTTAATTTTCCAGACATGTTTCGACGGTACCTCCGTCATCTTCAGTGTACCGTCGAAACATGTCTGGAAAATTAAAGAAAGTTGTTATGTTTATACGACTATCTATATTGTTGCTGCTATCTAGACCAATTGAAGTTATCTTTTAAACTACCCAGTGAGAGCAGAGTCTCCTCAAAAAACCGAAACCTTCCTCGAAAAATAAATTGGCACTTTCTAGGAAGATCGAAGGGGACTGATCTGCTAGGAAAGTACTTTAAAATCAGCTCTTTCTCCAAACACATACTGTTCAGCCTGCTATTAAAAATAGAAGTCTCTGTACACTGTATGTGTGTATCCGTTGGGCAATTCCAGAAAATATCCATATCATTCCAAGGATGGCTTTTCGTAATTCCAAGGGCAAGGGGGGTTCTTTGAACTGGAAATCTAAAGGTGTGGGGGATACTTATGATTGGAATTCCAAAGGCAAGAGGTCGTTCAGAGACAGACAAGTGTTTATTCCTCAAAAATGCTTATTTCATTGACTGATTCAGTTGCAAATGAATTGGCAACACTGGCAACACAGGGTACAATACAAGCATCAATGGATCAGGCAATCCATGTTTTTGTGTTTATTCGTAGAAGAAAACCGTTGAAGCTCTGCAACGGGAGATAACGCATTTTGGAAAGTCCGAAGACCAGGGGAGGGGATAAAATATGGAAGCCGTCCATGGTATGGTATGGATATTTCCTGGAATTGCCCATTACAATATTCATGACTGTACATATTTTATTAAAATGCACCAAGCCTGTGCATCTAATTCTTGCTGCCGGAAGGCAAGTCTAGAGTAAGTTGCCAGGGGTCATTGGAAGCATCTAGAGGAATGCATACATAGTGCATACAGTAAAATCAGTATCAGCGCTGTTTCCTACCAGAGCTCGGTGGCACCTGCCGCCCAACATTTTCCCTCCAGCCACTAGATTTTACAGGTTCAGAGCACTGGGCTCCCTTCAATTTTCCTTGGAGCACAGCCTTGTGTATTATAGGGAAACCTACAGGACCCTTAAATTTTTCAATAAAAACAGCCAGATAAAAAGAGGAAATTGCATGATAAAACAAAAAGCTGGGAGTACATGTGTGGTATATGTTTGCTCAGCCAGATTTTGTATTCAATACTGAAACATTCTGTAACTTGTATACAATAATGTTTCAGGGATCTCAGCCTCCTGTACAATGGCAACTACTTCAGTGGGATATCCTGCACCCCTTGGACATGTCAAAGAGGGTACAAGTGTTCTTCGTAACAGCCCACTTAGCATTTCAGGGGACGCATACTCAAACTCATCTGGCCAAGCTTCAAGATCAATAAGTCCTTCAAGTGATGACAGTGATAAATGGAATTCATATTTGAGAGCAAAAGATGAGCTTATTGGCCAGAAAGATCAGATTATTGACAGGTAAGAACCGTGCATTAAGCTACAGTGTATATGTTTACTGGGGACATGATAGCTAAGGAACTAACTCTGTGAATTTCAGACCTTCAAAGTTATTCAAGCATTTATTATTAAAGGTTTTTTTATGTGATCTGATTTCAGATAGAGTCCTTTCTGGTAGTCTGAGCTAAGACAAGTAGATTTTCTTGCTGGGCATGCACAACATTGTACTCTGAAGGGTGCTTTCCGTTTGTCAGAACTGGCCGGCTGGACCATGGCCGGACCAGTCAGTTTGAATTATGAAATCACCTTTTTCTAAGAGTTTTTGCTAAAACACCATCTCCTTTGTGCATACTATTTTAGGATTTGACTGATCTAACTGGATAGTTTTGATTAAAAGGAAAGTTATCCTTGCGACAGGATTGGTCTGGCTGGTCAGTTCTGACAAATAGAAAGCACCCTAAGAAAAACTGGCAGGAGCCCAGTGCTCTGAACTTATGAAATCCAGGGTGCCCAGCATGATTTCTATGCAGCGTGCAAAGAAAGTCATGTCTGATAGCTCGGGGCTAGTGGATTTTGCTATCGGGCTAGTTAATTCTGTTCTTAACTTGCCCAACGGGCAAACAAAGTATTTTGAGGAATTCGTCTTACAGAAGAACTGTGAAATCAATTCTGCTCATCAAAAAATTTTTGGGGCTAGTTGAAATGACGTTTGGGCTAGTAAATGCTAGCTTCAGCTTGCCTGAATGACAAGCTGTAAAAATGACTTTCTTTGCACCCTGTTTCTATGACAAAATAACGAATTTCTAGTCACTCAAGGACCGAGGCCAGGGGCCACTGGGTGCTGATAAAGCACAGCCTTGATGCCAAAATTTTTATAGCTCACTTACCTAATGGGAAAGGGTCTAGGCAGTCTTGTACCTTTAAACCATTAACTAAGAAAATGTCCCTGAGCAAGCAAATTTTGTCCAAAAGGACAATCAGAGGTCACGTTTTCTTCGAGCCATGTGTCATATAGTTGATATTGATAATTAAAGAATCTGTATGCTGAAATTGTTGAAATTGTCCTTTCTTCAGACAGAAACAAAGCATATTTCAACTTCAGCAGCAGCTACTTCATCAGACAAACCCAGCACTGCAACAGTCGATACAGCCCACACACATGCATGTCAGCCGAACACAGAGTGTGCCAGATAACACATCACTGTCATTGAAACTACAGGAATGCCAGTATGAGAATGCACAGCTAAGAGCACACATTGCGGAAAAGGACTCATCCATTGATAAACTTAAGAAGAAACTTGGGTAAGAGCATAAATAATGATACATGGAAGAAAGTCAAGAAAGCAATCTGTCTACATGTAATTAGACTCAGTTCAAAATAAAACCTGCCTACTGATTTTCTATTTGGTAAACTATTACTTGAGCTAATTTTATTGAAATCACCACCAAGTCTTTACACTTGAACCCTATGCAAAAATCTTTCTCTTTTATGTCCGAGATTTTTATTTATTTCACCTGTTTTTGTTAGACATTTTTTCGTTGGTGAATAAGACTTAACACTCAACAAAATTAATTCAAATGTTTTTTTTTTCAGTATATCCTGTTCTTACACACACCTCTCCCGCGTTCAGGTCATTACTCTTGGTCGCAAAAACCATCATCCAAGTCACCCATCAAATTATTTCACCATTTTTTACACTCAATTTTATGTATATGTGTTGACTTTTATTATACGTGTACTGCAATTTCTTAAAACGGATACTTCACTATCATGAACAATTCTTTTGTTCCATAACTGAACAGACTTTATACAATTCTTACCTCTGTACTTGGATCGGAGTTGGAGGTTCTTCTGTCTTCTAGTAGTAGTAAACAACGGATGTGCACTTACCATTTTTTATTTCGGTTATTGTTACGTCAGTGACTGTGTGTTATACCTTTAGAGATAAAGCAATAGAAATAAGTTTGTAGACTTTCTCAAAGTCCCTCACGGTTTAAAGAAATTCCCGTGCTTCGCTCTCAGTTTTGACGTTCCTCGTCCGGCTTTTGTAGACCGGTAGTTCCACTGGTAAACAGGTTCGTAGAAGATTGTTTCGCCGTAAAGACCTGTAAATACGTAGGCCGATATGACTGACCGTACTGATCTCTTGCGTGACTGCTGACCACGGAATGTAAATTTACTGACTCTTTCCAGGGAGACGGAGTATCTCTTAGAGAATATGCAAGCCAGTGTCAAAGATTCTGCAGTCTCCAGTCGACAGGAACTGGAACAAATGCAAAAAAAGGTGAGATAGTACTGTGTATGTTTAATGAAGGATGTGTGTACATGTATGTATGCGTAGTTAAGACTTTGAATACCTTTTGTTGATTTACAGTGTACGAGATTGCGTTTTGGGCGCCAAATTTAAATAATTGCGCGGCGTAAATTACATTATAAAATTTCACTTTATTTATGCTCTTGTAGCAAATACTGTACAACATGAAAGTTGTTTTTATTTGAATCGAAGGCCTCGAAAGGGTTTCGCTCGTTTACAGCGCTGTAGTTGAATTGAATTTTACAATTTTGTACATGTATCACAACAGCCTTGTTATAAAACTTGTAGTGAAGCGACTCAATATTGAATGTTATAACTCGATTTTTACTTCTGGTTCAAGTTTGTAGAACAAGAGAAATCGCAAGCAGAGCTGAGCAGTAAACTAAAGCAACTAGAAGAGGATAAGCTAAAGCTCAAGTAAGAGATGACTTCACTTTGATCAAACATTGTAGGCTATTAACACTACACTGGCTTCAACAAGATCGCACGTTGTATTTCGATCGTCGTGGTAAATGCTGGATACATTTCGTACACTATCGCTTTGTTACCGACTTACAGTATACATGTATACAAGTACTATGCAAAAGTGAGAAGTTAAGACTTCAAATAGAAATCTTTGTATCGTTCATGGCGCCAAATATTGTGCCTGTTCTCCCATGTTCGTTACAAGGGGTTCGCGGGAGCCTAGGTTCGAGTAAAAGATGCCTTATTCATCTTTTATAAGAAGTCTGATTTCAGACTACTTTTGTATGGTGTCTTATCAGTATCTTAGTTTCATAGAGTAAAAAAATCGTACATTATGCAACTAGTATCGTTCTTCAACCTAGCTCTACATTCTATTTTACCAATTTTAAGTCCACATTAAGGTGCAACTTGTTTTGGGGAAACCTTTTAGTTAGCCTACGTAGCCGGCAGGATCTTTCGCGCGAGGAAAGTTTCGGCAGACGAGTTTTGGCGAAGCCGTGAGGAGAATGGGGAGGCGACGCTTTGGAAGTTTGTCGCGCCTTCAGCGCTCGCTTCTCGCGGCAAAGCCGTGAGAATGGTAGCCTAGGTCCAAATACTTCCAAGTGCCTGCCTAGCAGGCTATGAGAATGGCGGCTACGCCGACAAATATCTTACACGCGCAAAAACAATTCCCACACCTTCGCAGGCTATCTTGTAGTTTTTTTATTGTCACTTATCAAAGTTTTAGTCCCCGTCTCTTTGCGGCTCACTAGCTCGTGACATTCTACTCTCCCGATTTTTCGACAGAGAGTTTTTCTCCGGGTCTATAATTTTATTTGAAAAGTCGCACTCTGTTTCTCCCTTAGACTCCCTGAAAAACAAACAAACAAACAAACGAACAAAAAAACACAACAACAACATTAAAAACGGGAACTCAAGATTTGATCGCAAGAAAGAGCTGATATGAAAAAATCTTACCCTTAAATTGTATTAGCATCTGAAGCTGGAAATGTCTAATGGAAGGACTTTTGTTTTATAATATAGGCGTGAAAAGCAGAGCTTAGAACGGTATCTGAAGGATGTACCGACTGTTGAAGAACATCAGAAGTTGAACAAAACTATATCCTTTGATCAATGCAACAATACAGATGTTCTTACATACTTACTTGTACTTGTTATTTTAGACACTTGCCAGGGGATACCCAAAATTTAAATTAAGACAGGTGTATTTAATTTACAATTTTTCGATACTAGGTACTGAATACTCACAAGAGCACATGATCCGGAGCGTTCAACTCCCGTACTTAGCCTATGCAACGGCGTTTTCACAGATCAAGTTATTTTTAGCATCATTTTAAGGCATCGTCCATTCACTCAAAAATAAAAGGAAGATATTAGGGAGATTAAGTGAATCACGTTTACGCCAAACGGCAAACGTGAATTTGTACCACGTGACCATGTTTTCCCCTTAATTTTCGTTTATTGTTTATTACTTCTACGCAAAAATAAGTAGTTTCACGCCAGTTTCATCCAAAAGAATTGTTCTGGACAGTTTTCTATCAGCTTATTTTCTATTCTGAGAAACTCTCATCTTGAATCAGACGTTTGACGTTTGCCGTACGAAACGTGACTCTTAATCTCTCTATTGCTGTGAAACCCTGTTAATGCGACCTCGTGGGGTAATGAAAAACTAGATATTTATATAAATGAAATGGTCGTAAGGCCGGGTTTGACTGTATGTCCTTAGTATTTTATATAATATTTAGCAAACGGTATTGCCTTGAGTCTGTAGATGGTAATACTGTCCTCTTTTAATTGGCACATGTTTGTTCACCTTAACATTTTCTACCTCAAGGATGTTCGTGAGCAGTGTGATAAACTGAAAGAAACTGTTTCCTCAAAGGACAAGAAATTGGCTCGCATGAACAAGGCTTTTGGAAACAAAGTAAATAATAACGTAATTGGCTTTCCTAATACTTATCTATTGAATAGAGATTTACGCTGTGCATGGCGCTATCCAGTTTTTGAGTAACTGGGACACGAAAAAGGTTTATGACTTGTTTGTTTGATTTTCCTTTGATTTCTCTCTCTGTAATACGTTTCTCGACAATTTTCAATTTGACAGGATGACGAGGCAAAGAAGTTAACAGCAGAAAACACAGCACTGAAGGAAAACGTGCAAAAGTAGGTAACACATTCAGCACATACTTGCTTTTAATTCTGCAATTAGCGCCCGGGATGCTTATTCAATTATCTGAGTCGAAGGGAGGGCATTTATGCGAAGGGTGTTTGTGTGTGTGTTTGAGGGGGAGGGAGGGGGGGGGGGCTTTGTTCCTTGTCCAGTACGTATGCTGTTTGCCTTTTGTTGGGATCAACAAGAACGGTAACTTCAATACACAACCTAAACTTTGTGTGGATCTGTACACATCCTTGGCTTTCAACGTCCTGTCCTCCCTAAGAGCGGAATAAGAGAATAAACTTTAGAAATCACTTTTTTTGACTTTCATTAAATGTCTAGAAATCTGCTTGAAATAGAATATTCCGATGACTCAATGTAGCTAGATCACGGTAGAAGAGATTGATCAAGACGTTCGCGTATTTTAATCTTATTTCTGACTGTGTGTTGTCGGCATTGCAGATCATTCGCTAGTGATAAGTTACACTGTATATCCATTGCTGATATTATTTTATTTTTTCTTCTCGTAGACTTCAGGTTTCTCTCGATAAAATCAGCAATGACGGTCCAGTGTCACTTATAAACTATGAAGACTTAAAAATGGAAAATGAGAGACTTCAGGGAGAGCTTGACCGAACGAAGAAGGTATACGATGAGATTCTATTTCAGCGATTAAATCACGGTTTCAGACAATCCATAGGTATCAGAATTGGTAATAAGTGGGTTATTTTAAATGATTAAGGGCTTTTTTAGTCTACGCTATTTGTTCCATACTAGTGAGGGTTGATTTGTGCTTGACACAGTAAACTAAAGGGTGATTATAGAATCGATATGTACAGGGGTTGGTGGAATAGAACTTGGTTTTGTTTAACGTCGGCTAAACTCGGTGTTACTAAGCGACCCTTTTAAGTTCTTGTCGTGCTTTCCGCGCTTTGGAAAGGGAACCACGGCTCCACAGGCTAACAAACTCAAAAATAGTTACGAGTAGTCTTGCAGTGGCATAAGATTGAGGCCCAGTTTACTGTAAAAATCTGTTACTGAAAGCAGTCTGACTTATTTCGCCCTATAGATTTTAGAGAATAAGCACAAGAAGATGAAAGCTCTTCATTATCAAACCCAGAAAGAACAGAACAACCTTGAGGAACGACTCACACAAGAAGAGGTGTGCCAGTACTTCACTAACCTGCAAGCAGCCTCACGTGTGCAAATTCGGGGAAAATTATTTTGGCGGCAGAGCCGCCATCCAGCGAGGAAAACTCACTTTTCCTCGGCCCATTGGGAGCCGCCAAAGATTTTCCCCGAACTCGCACAAGTAAACCTGCTCGTACTTCACTGTTACAGATTTTGATCGTCGTGCAGTATCGTATGAACTCACAGCTAAAACCTTTCCCCGTTACAGTCTAATTACACTGAAACTATTACTAACTGCATTGTAAGTAATCTCACACTACTCTGTCTCAGTATCAGGATTGGGCATGTCATTATCCTGGGCCGAGTTGTTCGAAGGCCGATTACCGCTTAACCCGGGGTTAAATTTAACCCGGGTTTCTTTTTCTTGTGTTCAATAGCATTTTCTGGGATAATTCTGTCTGTTATTTTTAGAGCTTCCAATCATCAACTTGTAGACAAAAAGAATTAAAACTGAAATACTTTTTAAACTTTCAAAACTGAATTCAAATCTCTTACTAACCCTGGTTTAAGATAACCTAGCTTTGAGCAACTCGGCCCAGGTTACCAGAGACTTATTATACGGCGTTTCCGGTTTCGATCAAGTCTCATGACCATTCGGCCGACGCGGTGCCGACTCCGAAGCATCCCTCTGGTATCCAGAGTAGCATCTCCTTTACTGATACTAACTTAAGCGAACGACACAGCAGTTTTCATGTGTGGAAATCGTAGGAATAAGTAAGAAAGGAAAAATTCAACGAAAGGTGACTGTTGCCTTCCAGTGTCTCTTAAATAACGTTTGAACTCTTAAATGATCTGGCTAAACATTCACTGTGGTAACATACAAATGTTGAACAAATGGTGACTTGTGTACAATCCTAAAACGGTGCCTTCTTTTCCATACTCGTGTAATTTGGTCAGTTTTATATATATATGTTTGCTATGTGTTGGCAGGAAATGGTACATGCTTTACGGGAGGAGCTTACGTTGAAAGAAAACGCATTGGAGGAAATGAAGAAAGCTGTTAAGGAAGTAAGTCATTTATGAAGCCGAAGACATCTTCGAAACGTCATTCTCTACTTTCCAGTTGCCTATAATGCACCTTCTTTGCCTCCCCTCGCCCCCCCTTAAAATAGCATAACAATATTCATCCTAAACTCACGTTTCCTAATTTTGAATATTTTTAGATTGCTTTGCACAACCAGGATTTACTAGAAGAGAACTTAAATCTTCAATGCCGTTGTGAGCAGGTATTTATTAAGTTTTATGAAATCTGGCTGGTTTTTTAACCCGTGATTTAGTATCTCATATTAGATTTTGGTCCATTGTGCCGCTATAAATCCATTAATAGCCTTATCGTGTCTACTGTAACTCGTTTTTGTAGACGATTTAAGTGTAAAAGTTTACATATATGTTTCCTTTTTACAGTTGAAAAAACTAAGTTCGAAGGAGAAGTTGGAAAATCAAAGACTTCTTTGGAAAGAGGTATCACTTATTATTTAAGGCAGTCGAACCTAAGCTATAATGCCGGTCAAAATTTGTTGAAACACTTCCGGAAAACACGACATAAACTTGTTCGTTTCATGAACGCAAGTATTGCTTCCCTCCTCTTCCCTCAATGTTGGTTGCGTTTCAACAATTATGACCGGGATTGTAGGCGGATACTTCCCAGAAGCGATCGCTTATGTTCCAAAAGTGACGGACATGAATTTTCTCTTATAACTTCATCAAAACATAAGAAAGGAAAAAGGCTCCGAGAATTGATAACATTTCAAGTCTCAGGTTGAATGAGTTCATTTGTACTGTGGTCTAATCAGTTCTAAATTGCAGCCTGTAGGTTCCTATAAATTCACTAGGTTCTTCAGTGTGCCTGTTTACTGTATTGCGTTGCATTGTTTTTTCAAAAGGAAATAGAAATAAATATAATACGATGGGGGTATAGTGAAATTGTACACTATTTCTTGATTGTTATACTGGTGATAGCAAAGATATTGAACTCTATCAAGTTCTCGCTGCGGAAATTTTTTCTGAAGTGCTCAGTACTATTCGGCCCCGTTGTAGATTTGGTGACACTCATTATTTGTATGTTAATGGATTGTTTGTTAGTCAAGTGAAGAGTTTTTTGTTGTTAAAACCCTAGCTGTCCGACTGTACCTCGGAGCTCAAAGCAGTGGTTCAAGTTTGTCGAGAAAGAAAGGAAGGCAAAGATCCGGACATGTCTGTTCTTCTTGGCCTAAGAAGTAAGTTTAATCCCTCGTCAGATTTGTCACTCAACAAAACGGATACAGTTTGATCTAGAAAGGTCTGACGCCCTTAGAGACTACTTAACTTTACGGAACACCTTGAAGTAATCATGTCTCTTAAATATACGAAGGAGTGTTTCATTTAATGTTAAAACACCGACATGAAGAAATGAAGCGCAACCAACATATCTGAGTGAATATTGGACAAAAACCCATTTCAATTGTCTGACCAACCTCTTCCACAGTTGTTACGGGTTTCTTTTGTAATTTACGAGCAAGTTTTTGACCAACCTCTTCCACAGCTGGGGTGGGCCTTCTTTCTCATGTACGAGTTCGTTTCTTTGACCTGTCTGTCTAGCTAATGCTTTTTGGTGTAGTGTTTTTTCGTTTGGTTTGATTTTTCTTTACTTTCTTATTTCCTTTTTTCAGCTACGATCGACGAAGGGGAAAATGAAACTAACGACTCTTCCGATGATGTTGATGCCATAAAATCCAAGACAAATAAAGTAAAACAGCTTCGGTTAGACGTGGAAAATCTAAGAAAGTTCATCTCTGACCAGTATGCCGAAGATATTGGAAATAACTGCAGGATGCAGTGAGTGACTGAACCAGTGAATTTAGCTTTACCTACGAAACAGACGCATGCCCCAAGCTATCTATTCTTTGATTATTTGAAATTCTTTATCATCGGTTTTTTTGTTTCACTTTTGTTGTATTCTCACTCCCCTATTTTTCCGTAAGATCATCGAGGACGAGCGCGTTGCGTTCCGGACGGCCGTCTTGGTTTGAAATGTCCTAGGCTATCGTAGAGATGAGTGTCGCATCTACTTAGGAGACGGGGGACGGTTTGGGAGGGTATTTTCTCTCCTCCATCTCCCCACCGCTATAAACCCCCGGCGCCCGTCCCCCAGGTACTTTTGAAACCAGGATGGCCGCTGTAACGGAAAGCGCTTGATCTCGACGATCTTTACGAAAAATAGGGGACTGTGAACAGTCTACCAGTACACGAATATCGAGCTTTAACATATGAATTGTCGCATCTGCGTAAATGGAGGTTTAAGTTACGTGCAGCAAGTACAAACAAGCGAGTACTTCAAGATATGAGGTGCTATTTCGTGTTTTCGTTCTATAATTACCGTTAGCAACAAATTGTAAATATGAATTATAACTAGGAAGGTTATAAATGACAATACAATAATGTGTGCAATAGAGAATGTTTACCGAATAAATAATTTATTGAATTTTTTGTATTCAGCGCCATTATGACCAAAAAGCGTAGCCAGGGCGCGTGAATTATTTTGTCATAATTGCATTTCCTCGTTATTGTATATTGTATCTCTCGGAAAGAGGCTAAAGTGAAGTAAATAAAGCTTGTTTTGTTGCGGGATTCCAATTTGCTTTTGGTGATAACAGGGTGATAAAAAAACGGGAGGGAGAATTTGAAAAAATAGTTCCTGATACCTTAAAATGGGAAGAAAATGGTAAAAAAATCTACAACAAGGGATATAAAAGACATCTGAACGCAGGCCATAGGAAATATATAGCCCATAAAGGTGTGGCACATTGATGCTAGTCACGAACGACTTTAACTATACGATTTCTTGTTTGCCCTACCTTGTGCAAAGCAGAACACCTCCCCCTTGAGAGAGAAGAGGCTCTATTTTACCCGGGATGGGTCCGTCTTTGCACCTGATGTGTCTTAGCCTGTTCCAGGCTCTCAGATAGTAGGGATGACGCGTGAGTGTGAGGCACGCGAAAATATATTAAGCACGTGATCTGGGAAAAAGAGGGTGGTGGCGGTTTTCCTCTCCCCAGTTTCCTCCCATTTTATTTTCGGGTTCTTTATTCTCAATTTCGCCGAACCCACTATCTCGGAGCCTGGGACAGGTTACGTATGTTTATGTCTGCGCTCTAATGTCTGGCTTTTTTGCTCAGGGACAATCGTTATAAGCACCGCATTCTTCTGATTGACTGCGGCGTTTATTCCGGTAATTTAGCTTCCATCCGCTGTGATGGATCGAGTAAATACCGTGTGTTTCATTTTGGAGTTATAGCTAGCTGATCAAAATAATGGTTTAGGATAGATCGAATGTAAAGGAATGAGTTTTGTGGACATGGAGAAGGCTAACCTCGCTTGTTTTTCCTTGGCAGTCAGGGAATCGAATTTCGTTTACAGAATGCTTTGAATAGGTATTAGACACGTTGTAGACTCTCGAATGCCAACAATTTGACGATATGCCAAAACCGATGTGAACTTTGCTCTAACTCATATCGAGAGAAAAATTGGCGAGTTACCTACTGTCGTTTATATCTCCGGTATCAAATATCCATTCCCACCGACCGGGAACCAAGAAGTCGGTCGATAGTCTTGCATATGATGGTAACTCAAAAGCAGAGTTTGCCTTCTTTTTCCAGCTTTCTTTCTGTTTTGTCTATTTTATTTTACTGCGCCGGGTTTTTGAGAGTTGAATTAGAGTTAAATGAACAGAAGAAGAGAATTAACGCTCTTGAAAACAACGCAAAGACTGAGCCGCGACCATCAAACGAACGAAGTGTTGTGGAGATAACAAAGACACGTTCTTCCGGTAAGTTTTTTTTTTAGATTTCTTTACTGTTTAACTTTTAATTCTTAATGACTGAAATTAACCATTAGAAAGGATACTAAATGCTCATCGTGCCCTGAGGAGAATCGAATTGGCATGTTGTCACCGCTATCTGTTTGGTAGAACTTCTGGTTGAAATTAGCTACACATACATAAACAGAGAGCCTTCGTAACACATTGTCTTCTTTTCATCCAAAGTTTCTACGTAAAATGTTTTTTACCCAATCAAAGCTCCCTAAAACAGACATGAAAGGGACAAGGCCAAGTGTCTGCATTACAGAGGTATCCGCTTATAGAGGAAGGAATTCTATCGAAATTGTATCAATTTTTAAGTTTAGGGCAAATATAACTGCCCATAAAAGAGAGCTATCCGTATTATTGAGGTTAGACTGTATTCGTTTTGCCCCTTCCCTCGACAATTTGCTTCGGCGATGCAGAGATTGGATTAGGTTCTGGTAAACCACCAGCCCGAACCAGTCTCCATCGGCTACAGGCGCGAGAGTCCTTCGCATAAATTGAGAGAGAAATCTGGCTGATGCGAGGCAGCATGGACCACCGAATTTGAAGATAATCAAGCGGGCCCTGTTGATTTTCTACAAGGCATAGCGTTAAGGCAGCCCCTAAAGAAACACAAGAAAGGGAATATATAACATATTTTCATCAAATAAAAAATATATATATATGATTCTCAAGCGGTTTATGAACTCAGAATAAAATTTAACAGCTGCTAAGCGGCTATTATTATTTATCGGTATCATGCGAACTTTATAACAATGAACAGTTTTGTTTATTTATTTTTTCCTTTCTAGAGCTTCAATTCCCCATACACCATAGGAACAGACTATATAAGCGTCAGGCTGATTCAACCAACTCAAACAGCACAAATTCTGTGGATCAAACGGTGCGGAAAATCAAGAAGCTTTTATCCGAGGGCAAACTGCAACTTTGTCATTCAAAAGGTGTCACGTGCTCATTTCCAGGCCCTCCAGGTCCACCTGGACCCAGAGGAGAAAAAGGAGACCGGGGGCGAAGAGGACAGAGAGGTAAACCTGGAAACAAAGGAGATCAAGGCATTATGGGGTTACCAGGAAAGAGTGGCAAGCAAGGCATCAGGGGACTTGTTGGGCTGCCTGGCGAAGCTGGTATTAAAGGTCAGAAAGGAGATACAGGTCCCACAGGCATGCCGGGACCGAAAGGAGAGCCTGGCGAATCATTTTCAGCACCTTCCGTTGCTCTTTCTCCCTCAAGGGTAACTGTGAACGAGAGTGGATCAGCCACGTTTCAGTGTTCAGCTACTGGTAACCCTCAACCTGCGGTATTGTGGAGTAAACTGCCGAATAAATTACAAATGAGACAGTCAGCGGTTACAGGAGGAATTCTAAGTTTACAGAACGTGAAAGGAAGTGACGCGGGTGTGTATAAATGTTCAGCGGCAAACGTCTTAGGACAAGCGCACGCGTTGGGTCACCTGGTAGTAAACGGTGAGTTCATGAATCTCCTTTTCCATAATACGTCCTTTAATTTAATCAGAGGATAGAAAACCTCGCAGAATGCACCACAATATCAGCAGTTGTCCCAAGAAAGTACGAGACTGACATTCAAATCGCGGCCAAGTACAATACGCCAATGATATGCCGGGTTTTTTTTTACCTTATGGTATAGATTCTACAAGAGTCAACGTCTTCCTCTTTATTTTAAACTCATGGCCTTCCCTCCTCCAGTTAGGCGAGTATCTGCAAAACACGTATTTCTAGTGTAAGAACATTTGACCATTTATTCTGTGCTAGTGCCAGGAAACAGGAAACCTGCCTCTTTTTATTAACTAACGAGCGTCCTAATAATATTAACTTTTTTCGCTTTGCAGTTCGTCCTTCCATATCTCTTAATCCGGGACCCTTTTACGTCGTGGAAGGAAGTAATGCTACTCTACCTGTGTGTCACGTGACCGGCTATCCTGCGCCTTTGGTCAAATGGAGTAAGTCATTTGGTCAGCTACCCCCGGGGAGGGTACAGAGTAACAAAACTGTCATGAAACTGTTTGGGGTCCGTAAGGTTGATTCTGATAACTACATATGCACTGCGACTAATCTGTTAGGAACTGTAGTAAAACGAACTGTCTTAGTTGTGGTCTCCCTCCCTAAATTCGCTATAAAGCCACCAGAAAAAGTTACCGCGTTGATTGGCGAAACATTTACTTTAAACTGCTCTGCCACCGGTGATCCTCAGCCAGTCGTGAACTGGAAAAAGCAAGGAGCACAACTTCCAGTTGGACGAAGCCAGGAGATCAATGGTGTGTTAGTTATCAGAAACACGAAAAAGGAAGATGCAGGGAGTTACATTTGTGCTGCAAGGAGTGCAGGGTTTTTTACCGTGGAAACTGTCACAGCTGTTGTGCTTCTGCTTCCCAAAGGTAATCAAAGATTTTTTTTATTACTAGAGGTGAATAATTTTGTTTTTTCAAATCACTCTAGTCTGTGTCAGATCCCATTTTTCTTTTCAGTCGGAACGTAACAAAAATGACAATAACAATGCCGAAGTACTCTGTCATGAATAGTGACATTTTTAAAATTTTGAGATTTGTTGAGATCTTCAAAAAAAAAGCAAGATCAGTGGTCTGGCAAGATTAAAAGTGCTTCCCAGCCAAAGATCAGTTTGTCAGGGCAAATTACGGCCATGAGATATTAGTTTTCTCATGATTACTGATAACCCCATACAAATCCTTCTAACTTTGACTTGTCAGAACGACCGATATGTATGGAGATTTGTGTGGAGTTATACCAGAGCGTAACAGCGCTCACAAACCGTAAGAAAATGCTGATTTTAGGCAGGTATGCCTTTTTGATCTTTTTATTCCAGAATACCCAGACAAAACCCATTCACGTTGAATGTCATAAATTTAGTTTTATTTATTTAGTTTTGTAATCATTTCTTCTATTATGCAAATTCCTTAAGGGTGGAGTCGTTTGCAGTATAGGCGTATACCCGTCGCATTTGCTCGCAGGAGTTTTCATTGTCTCTGAGCTTGAAAAAATGAAAAAAATTCTAAAGAGAAATTGTAATGGCTTTACGCGAATGCTGCAAATGAATTGTCTCTAACAAGGGATTTAATTTTGTCCAATTCAATGAGAGCGAGTGCCAAATCATAATTCTGTGTTTTTAAGTTGTTCGCGTGTTTCTGAATTATTTCGACGAACTAGTGCTCTTAAAAATTCACCTTTGTTTGTTTCAGTACAGTATCGTAAATAATTCCTTCTTATTTTTTTTCTTCCCGTTCAGATTGCTCTGATCTGTTTAAGTCAGGCCGTACTCAGAGTGGAGTGTACTCTGTGAATCCAGACGGTAGAGGATCCTTTAATGTATATTGTGACATGCGCACTGATGGTGGAGGGTGGACCGTGTTCCAGAGAAGACAAGATGGCTCGGTAGACTTCTATCGCGGTTGGAACGATTACAAATCGGGCTTTGGTCAGCTTACGGCTGAGTTCTGGTTAGGAAACGACAAGATCCACAGGCTTACGGCCGCTAGACCCAGCTCTTTACGAGTGGAGCTGGAGGACTGGAACGGAGGAATAGCATATTCCAAATATGGCAAGTTTAACATTGGTGATGAGCAGGCGAAGTATCGACTTGAAGTGGGTTCATATTCAGGGACGTCGGGAAATTCGTTAGCATATCATAATACTATGAATTTTAGCACAAAAGACAGAGATAATGACAAATGGAGAAGTAACTGTGCTGTGAGTTGCTCTGGTGCCTGGTGGTACAACGCGTGCTACTATTCCAGTCTTAACGGAAAATACCTGAGAGAAAAACGTGATCAGAGAGGTGTCACGTGGGATCACTTCAGAGGTTCTCTTTCACTTAAATTTGCTGAGATGAAACTGAGGCCATCATCTTAGATAGAAAACCAGTCATAGGACTGGCTAAACCTTTTAATTTAGTATTTTTTTAATGTTTGTTTTTGGGGAGTGCATCTTAGATGTTTTTCTTACCAACTGCCCGTTTCTTTGGTAAAAAGGAACAGTGCACAAAGCACTTGTAAGATCTTACCAGCTTCTTGTCATTGTACCACCCTTAGTAACTGGTAAACCCAGTAGGAAATTTGTTAGCTTTAGAGATACCCGCGACCATCACAAAATTCAATGGATGTCGGATGTTAGAGCGGTGGGACTGGTCAAATATCCTTGGCTTGGATGACGATGAACACTATAAACAGGACTCTGCCTGATTTCAAGTATATTACACAGTTACCTGTAAACGTTTTGATAAATGAACTGATAAACTCCTCTACTGAATTACTTTATCAATATACAATTCAGCTTGCTTTGATCTTCGTGACAAATTATTACCCAAGCACCTAAATTGCCCTATGATGTAGTTTTGATTCTTAAAATAGCTTTTGCAATACTGCACGTACTTGACTGTATGGTTATGCAAATAAAGCTCGTTGTTGTTGTTGATCAAAATTATGGTTTCGGATAGAAAGAAATAAGCGGAGAAGAGTCTGAGATTTTTAGACAGTAGTATGTCTTTAATCTCGCTAGTTATTCCCTGGCACTGGCGTGAATAAAGATAAGACTACTGCGAATTAATAAACAGGAATGAATAAACGCTGATCAGAATGCCAACAATTTGAGGATGTGCCAAAACGGATTTGAACTTTGGTTCAGGTCAAACCGAGGGAAAAAATAATATACAAAAACTTCACTTGTGATCACGGTATCAAATTCAATGTCAAAGTCCTAGCACCGAAGAACAACGGTAGTCTGCGTAGTCTGTTGATATTGTCTGAAATGGTGACGCAAAAACAGAGTTTGCCTTCTTTTGCCAGTGTTCTTTCTCTTTTATCTATTGTATTTTACTGTGCCGGGTTTTTGAGAGTGGAATTAGAGTTAAATGAGCAGAAGAAAAGAATTAACGCACTTGAGAACAACGGGCAGACTGAGCCGCGGCCATCATTCAAACCAAGCCTTGTGGATTTACCCAAGACAAGTTCTCTCGGTAAATTTCTCGATCTCAAGTCCTGTTTATTTGTTTACTGTTTAACGTAACTAGTATATAGCTATACGATCGCTACGGTACTGTCAGTCACTTTTTTCCAAAACATATTAGAAACTCATACATCATAGTACATTTTACTTGGACTTAAAAGTGCAGGCTTGTTTCCAGGGCACTTTTTTGTAAAAAGTGCGTACACTCGGGGGATGCACTTGTTCGATTTTTGGGTGGGTGTGTGCCGCTGAGCTGCAAATTCTGTCCCCTACTTTAGACCTTTCACAAAAACCTTATTCAATGCGAACCAACAACCAGATGTAAGCTGGAATTAAACTCCAATCTTCACTGAACATTGTTCACTTCCTAAGGATATGATATCCTATTCTTAACTAAAATCCCCGATTTCTACCAAGACTAAACGGCATAAAAATCGTTACCTTTCGTACAGCGGTACATACCTAATATGCTTCCTCATCCGGGTGTCAACGGACCGTGATCCGGTCTCATTTAGCGCTAAGGTTTATTCTTCTTGCTACATAAAACGACACAAACGGTTATCGACTCAATACATAGGGAACTCTTTTTTTGAAAGCGTAAGACGATTTTCTTAGAAATACAGTTGAACCATGATCTCGCCTTCCCTTTACGGAAAAGACCTCTCGGGATTCGTAGATGCAATCTCATGTGAAAGGGTCACTAGACCTGTAATTTCACTACTCTTAGTTATATCAAGAAATGCATTACTTTTTGTATTATTTTGCTCCTAATATTTTTGCGCTTAGGAATTTTCCGGTTTGATTTAGCAAGCTTGTGCATCGCTTAGGAATGATAGTACGTACGTGTGCCCGCAAACCTACATATTATTGCCTAAATGCCGTAGCGGATATTAGCTTTTTGTGGTTTTTCTTTTCGGTACATTGTTTTAACCCTTTCGCTGCCAAATGTAGCCAAAGGCAAATTTCGACCAGATTTCCAAATTTCATTTTGTAAGATTTTGAAAAACAAATAGTACCATGTGTAAGTACGGGTAGAAAGCTTTCATTTGAATGGTCACATCATAGGATTTCGTCCTAAGACTCTAAAGTTAGAGCCACCTTACAAATTCCATCAAACATTCTGGCAGTGAAAGGGTTAATCAGTTAATTGACCTTATCTTTTTAAGTTAGTGGGATTAACCTAAGGAAAGCCTGGCGTTCTGTTTTACCGTGGTTTGGCAACGCACCTTTATTGGTTTGCTACGTGCAAAACTGTTTAATACTCTGGTATAAGTAGAGGCAAGTTTTAGCCGTAATTCAGGTGAGTTTGGACGTCACTGAAGAAACAGCAGCAGTTGTAAAGTTAACAAGAGAACTTGTTCCTAGCAAGGTTTGATCTTTTAGTAGTTTCCGTTTATTTTTGGTTAGTTTTATTTTATTGTTGCTGTATTGCTGATGGATTTGAGTTTCAAATAAATTGCTTTGGAAAATCCTTGAATCCTTCTCGTTCCTGCCGCTGACCGCCCTGTCCTGTTACACCTATACTGTGACATTCTTAGCTATCTATTCTCAGCAAGCCTGATACGCAAGTATCTTGTAGAGATGTGCTTCTTGAAAGGAAACAAAATTATAATAACGTGCCCGTAGATGAATAGAGTTGGAGCAGTGCCACAGCGGATCGTCAGCGCTATTCTCTTTGGCTAAAAAGGAAGCTAAGGTTAACGGGTCACCTCTTCAAGTTCTACTGTACAGTACAGACCTGTACAGTTTGATTCTGATGATAACTTTCTGCTACCAAATTTGTCTCTCTTTTCTTACATGACAACTCACCTTTCTGGTGTGATGCAGCGCAGTTATTTGTATTCCGGCTTGTAATTTAGGATTAATTGGACAAGCTGGAGTTCAAATGAACCACCAGCCTCATCCATCGACATTGTTTTCAATCTAACTAGCGAAAACGAGGCGCAACGCGTGAAGGCACGTTTAAAAAATTAAAAGTACAGAGATAAACTTTCAGGGGCTCATAAAGAGGATTTTTGCACAAAAATGAAAATGAATTAGTTACCACAATAAGGCATAGATTGTGTTTATCGAAGACATTTTAACCGTTTTCTGAGAATGCGGGAAAAATTTACCTTTTCTTCACTCCCCAGTTTCCTCCTGACGGATGGCAAAATTCCCAGCCAGAGGGTACACCTACAGTTTGCCAGACGGAAAAAAAGAAAAACAAAAAACAAAACAAAAAAAGGAAAACAAGCAGTCCTGGAACTTTTGTAGAATTCCCGGCGATCTCAATCTTACTCTACCACGTAGCACTTGCAGAATGACTGTTGAACGTGAATATTTTTGTTTCAGAAAAATACTAAAAGAAATTTTCCCTGTCCCGTCTGCAGGAACAGATATTTTAAGGAACGTTTCTTTTGGGTGTTTTTTTTTACCTTATTAGAGGCAGTTTTGCTGTCAACGCCTTGAAAGTTGTTTAAGTTCTCTACGGTATTTAATTAAATAATGTAAAGAGGGCAGTAAAAAAATCAAATACATGTACCTGGCGAGGGCAGTAAAAAATACATTCCAAACAGGCAGTTGAAAAAGGCAAGATGAATTAAAGGATTTGTTAAAAGTTTATCACCTCGAAATTCAGGTCATAATGCTAGATATTAGGTATAATTCGCACTGTATAACATTCAATAATCAAAGTGTTTTTTTTGCCTTTCTAGAGGTCCATAGAAACGGAATCTATAAGCGTCAAGTTGATTCAATCAATGCAACCAGCCCAAATTCTGTGGACCCGACGATGCAGAAAATCAACAAACTTTTATCAGAAGGCAAATTGCAACTTTGCCATTCAAAAGGTGTCACGTGCTCATTAGCAGGCCCTCCAGGTCCACCTGGACCGAGGGGAGAGAAGGGAGCCCGGGGACGAAGAGGACAAAGAGGGAAACCTGGAAACAAAGGAGATCAAGGCATCATGGGATCACCAGGAAAAAGAGGCAAGCAAGGCATTATGGGACCTGTTGGGCTTGCTGGCCAAGCTGGTTCTAAAGGACAAAAAGGAGACATGGGGCCCGCGGGCATTCCGGGATCTAAAGGAGAGCCTGGTGAATCAATTTCAGCACCTTCTGTTGCTGTTGCTCCTGCAAGGTCGACTGTAAACGAAAGCGGATCAGCCAAATTTCAGTGTTCAGCTACTGGGAATCCTAGGCCTTCAATAATATGGAGTAAATTGAACAGTCAAACAAAAATAAGCCAGTCAGCAGTTACAGGAGGAACTCTGCTCTTAAAGAACTTGAAAGGAGGTGATGCGGGTGTGTATAAATGTTCAGCGGTAAACATCTTGGGACAGGCTCACGCTGTTGGTCATTTGGTAGTGAATGGTGAGTTTATGGACACATCTTGTCAAAAGAGCAAGATGAAAACACTATAGCATAAAAAAAACTTTATTCATTCTGAAAAAAAAAAAGACAAAAACAAAAACAAAAATAGATCCTGTTAATTTACTTAGGTAAGCAGTTGACAAATTGACAAAACCTTGGATAGGTATTTAATTAATCTAAACGTGATGTTTGTCTGTTTTAACCTTGCATTTGTTCATGTATTAAACTTTATAAGATCACAATCATGCAAAAAAAAGTAGGTTCGTCGATCGTTTGGTAAGGAAAATTAAAAGGGCGAAGAATATAACTAGGCGTGTGATACAGATATTTAAACAGCCTCATGATCAATAGTTTGTTTTGAAGAAATCCTTGTTAATGATTCAGTTACTATTACCATGTAACGAAAAGTGACTGCAGCGGGACATGACGTCAATCACAATTCTTAATTACGGGAAGCACGTGTTTATACCAAATCAATTATGCTAACCTGTCTTTAACTGTGAAAAATGCATTCGAATCTCCACTAATGTCATCCTATATACAACTGCCACTGTTTTTGCCCTGGTGGACAGTCCATATAATGGCTTTTGTTTAAACCTCTCTACAACGGCAACAGCCACTACAGTGCGTACCCAACCAACTGCGAAAATAATCTTGTAACAACGGCCACGAAATTCAAGTGTTCCCTATGGTGCGTAGATTTTTAATCGCGGGAAGTCTTTCAATTCAGTTAAAAATGTAAATACAGTACTTTTTTGCACGAACGTTTAGTACAGTGCGGGGGGGGGTAGGGGGCTCCCACATGAAAAGGTCAGGGATGCTCATCGTCTCGCTTGGGGTGTTCTGGAAAAAAAAAAATTTAGCCGTAAAGGTCTCTTTTAGGGTTGCATTCGAAGAAATATTAAAAAATTATATATTTTCTATTCGTTTTATTTACTCGATTAATGTAATCAAAGTTTAAAATGATTGCGTTTAGGGGCCAAAAAAGGTTGGGCCACGCCCAGATTGGTCTCCTTTAGGGGTTTAAGCATCCCTGCCCCTTTCATATGAGAGTCCCCCGGGGTACAGTTAAGCTTTACTTCAGTTATTTTATAGATATTTGACCATTTATTTAAGGCTAGTGCAAGGAAACGGGAAAACTGCCACTTTCGTTATAGATATTCACGTATAACTGTGGTAATTACGTGAAATTCTTTCGTTTTGCAGTTCTTCCTTCCATATCTTTTAATCCGGGACCGTTTTACGTCGTTGAAGGAAGTAATGCAACTCTACCAGTTTGTCACGTGACTGGCTATCCTACGCCACTGGTCACATGGAGTAAGTCATTTGGTCAGCTGCCCCAGGGAAGGGTACACAGTAACAATAGTGTCATGAAACTGTTTGGAGTTCGTAAGGTTGATTCTGATAACTACCTCTGCACTGCGACTAACTTGTTAGGAACTGTGGTCAAACGAACTGTCTTAGTTGTGATCTCCCTCCCTCAGTTTACTGTAAAGCCACCGTTAAAAGTTACTGTGTTGATTGGTGAAACGTTAACTTTGAACTGCAGCGCTACTGGCGATCCTGAACCAGCCATGAACTGGAAGAAACAAGAAGCACAACTTCCAGTTGGTCGGAGCCAGCAGATTAATGGTGGGTTGGTTATTAGAAACATTAGAAAGGAAGATGCAGGGAATTACATCTGTGCTGCAACGATTGCAGGGGTTTTTGACGTAGAAACTATCACAACTATTGATGTTCTGGCTTCTAAAGGTAAACAAGGATTCTGTGTATTACGAGAGAGGATAAAGCCTAAGAGGGGGGTGTGTTGGCCAGGTTAATTCTAGGACGTACAACCAAACTTGATGAAAATCGGGAGGGGGGGAGTGGCACATCCCCTATTCTCTTGAAACAGTTACTGAAGAGAGTTACCGAACGATAAAAAAATTGAATAGAAATATGTGAGAAAAACCTCGTGGGGGGTGGAATCCATCCCGTTGGAGTCCGTTTTTAGCCGGAATCATTTTCAGAAATATCCACCTAAAAATCCACCACTGCATTCAATAGTAATTAACATTGACGTATTGTTATGTCGGGTGAGAGAGGCGGACCATAACGTTTATTCTAGAGTTTTCACTGATCGTGATCTTGCTTTAATAAGGGTAGAATTCAGGTAATTAAATCAAAAGCTATTCTTAAGTGAATAATTCTTAAGAAGCCTTTTAAATTTGCTCCTTATTTCTAGTGGGAAGCAAAGGCCATAATGGGACATTATGGCTTTTGGTAGAAGATTTTTCTACGTTTCCGTACTGCGCTTGTGAACGTTCTACCTATTCATGATGTGCTTTGGTTTTCTTTCTTAAAGCTGATGTTTCTGGGTAACTGACCACCTACCCTTCCCCTAAGTCACAATTTTGCCCTTAGAGAGAAGTAAGTGTCAATGTTGGCTTAGGGGAGGGGTAGGTGGACAGTTACCCAGAAGCCTCAATTGATCCCTTAAATTAGTAAAATAAATGATGTACTAGCCTGAGAGCGAGAAGGCCTCAAAAGCTCCCCTCGGTCTGAATAAATAGGGCTAATACGTTCTTGATACTTTGTTCTTGATAAAGCATTTCATATTTATCCCCCAAGATTGTTCTGATCTGCTGAAGTCAGGCTATACTCAGAATGGAGTTTACTCCATAAGTCCGGATGGAAGAGGATCCTTTGATGTATATTGTGACATGCGTACTGATGGTGGAGGATGGACCGTGTTCCAGAGAAGACAAGATGGCTCGGTAGACTTCTATCGCGGCTGGAACGATTACAAATCAGGCTTTGGTCAGCTGACGGCTGAGTTCTGGTTAGGAAACGACAGGATCCACAGGTTGACGGCCGCTAGACCCAGTACTCTGCGAGTGGAGTTAGAGGACTGGAACGGAGTAAGAGTATACGCCAAATATGGCAAGTTTAAAGTTGGTGATGAGCAGGCGAAGTATCGACTTGAAGTGGGTTCATATTCAGGGACAGCAGGAGATTCGTTAGCATATCAGAATAACATGGCGTTTAGCACCAAAGACAGAGATAATGACAGATGGGGTAGTAACTGTGCTGTGCAATACACTGGTGCCTGGTGGTACGACTCTTGCCACTACTCCAATCTAAACGGAAAATACCTTGGAAGAAAATCTGATGACAGAGGAACCCGTTGGAGAGGCTTCAGAAGTTCTCTTTCACTTAAATTTACTGAAATGAAACTTAGGCCGTCATCTTAGAAAGAAAGCCAGTTACACGACTGCCTCAACCTGCTTTTTGAGCGAAATTTTTCTCAAAAAAATGGTGAAGTTGTCTGTGGCACAGTTGTATCGTTATAACTCATTAGATCATTATGATGATAGTTCCATTTTACCCACACTTGTGCAAAAAGAGAACTTTTTAACACACTGTGGCTTGTAGAAAGCTTCGGAGAATAAAGACTCGATCTTCCTGAGCCGTCACAATATTCAGCAAAAGTTTTAAACGCAGCCTTCAAGAAATTCAGTTCTAAGAGAACGAAGATTATAGGCGGCTACAATCTAAACAGCCCGGGAAAGAGAAAAAGATGACAGATAACGAATTTAATATTTCGCTTGAACTTTGCTTAAAAATTTAGGTTCAAATCTGTATTTTGGAGTAAATTGTAGCAGCCGTAATGTTCGTCTGTATCTCTCCCATTGAGCCAAAAGATTCTAATAGACCATAATGCACCTTGTTTCTCCCCTCACATTTTGCAGTAACCGTTGTTTCCAATTGCTCCCGGGTATTACAGTCGTCCCAAGAGAAATCGATGACAAAAGCTATGCAAAATTTTGGGATAAACAAGGTGCATTTATGATCTTTGTGAAAATTGTGAATAGTCACATTTCAATTACAACAACGGCCCGACGAACAAGGGTGGTCTGCCTGAGTTTTGAGTTGATTTGCTGCTACCTGTTACACGTGCTGAGCCAGTTCCAAGCTCTTGGAAGAACAAAAACATGCTGCGGTTATGATGATCGCAATTTGGCCCCATCAAATATAAAGAAACAATTTCATGATACTGAGGAATGACGGGGAAATTTGACTGCTTTTTATGGCAAAAGGTTTTTTAAACTTGGGATAAGAAGAGAGCAAGACCGACCGGCACGAAAAAAAAGCGCAATTCCGGTGCTTTCTTGCATTTAAACACTATAAACAATATTTTTCACATTATTTGCACCTTAGACTCTTGAGCAACAATGAAGTATCATATTGTTTGGATAACTACAGCTGGCATGACATTTTGTAAAATGTTTGACAAAAGTTTATATGATTATTACGATAGTTTTGCAAATGAAGGTAGTTGATGTTTGCAAATGATATACCAAGGAAGTTAATTGTAAAATTTAAGCTATCGCTTGCCCTACCACTTCCCCCTGTAGCATCACAACAACGCGGAAGGCTTATTATAATCGCAATAGCGGGTCATTATTATCTACAATTTACTTTATAAATAAAAAGCTCAAATAGCTAAAACCAAAGTGACTTTTAAATATATCACAAACCGCTTGCATGATCGTGACTCGTGGCTATCTACTATCTTATATCCATAGGCTCCTGACAATCTATAACAAACGTACCTTCGAACCCAGACTTATTTTTGAAAGTGTTTCTTCTTTAACCACAGGTAACCCGGGATCACTGTTCGTGTCACGTTTCATAACATGGGTAAATATAGAGAAGATGTGGGGCGAAGTTTAGGTCTGGAAATTTGCTAGAAAGTGGAGATAAAAATCGATGAAACTTACCATGTAGCGAGTTGTTGTTGTCCTTAATGGGTACACGAAGTTTCGGAAAAATAGTCTCCTTCACCTTTCCTTCAAATAGACTATTTTTCCCGAAACTTGTTTACGAATGAAGGACAACAACAACTCGCCACATGGCAAGTTTCACCCAATGAGCTTGGGTTACCTGTGCTTTAACCAAATGGCTACAATTCTGTGAGATTTCCCCTGGAAATAAACAGTCTTGAGAGTCTTTTCTACGTGACCTAACGTAGCCTGCGTAGAAAGCGTTTAAAACAATGGGCGCCCATTATTTCAAGCGCCTGCCGTGCAGACGAGGTCCGACGCCATCATGTCAGCCAAGAAATGACCTAGTTAACAAGAACAACTCAACGAGGAGTTGCCCACCTCCTACACCCGCCGGGACTAGGACCACTTCAAATCAATTCCCCACCCCTGAGCCCCGGAGTGCTGGACCTTTAGTGGGGCCCGCCCTTTGTGAAAGGTAAATCATGCGTAAGTGAGTTTGCTGACCCATTTATGTCCAAGTACATGTAGGACGTAGGCTTTTTGTGCCTTTGTAATTGGTCATTCAAACAGTTGACGTGTTTTAAACGTGTCAACCCTGTAAGACTGTCGGCTCGGACAGTGGAATACAGTTTTTTTTTACTTTTTACAATGTTATCATGTTTTTATTCCCAAGAGAAATCAAAGAGAAAAGCTATGCAAAATTTTGGGATAAACAAGGTGTATTTATGATCTTCGTGAAATTGGTGAATACTCACATTTCAATTACAACAACGGCCCGACGAACAAGGCTGGTCTTCCTGTAGTTTTGAGTTGATTTGCTGCTACCTTTTTACACGTGCTGAGCCAGTTCCTTGGACGAACAAAAACATGCTGCTGTTCAGTGATGATCGCAATTTGGCCCCATCAAATATAAGGGCCGATACACACGAAAGGTTTTGCTCCCGGAGCATGTTCCAGGATCATTTTGCACGTGTCAGTACACACGAGGGAGCGTTTTCAAGTTCGCTCAGTTTGCCCCGGGAGCTTGCTGCCAAATATTTAACCGGTTAATTATCGAGGAGCATTTTGCGGGGTGGAAATTCTGCTCCCGAGGATGCAGTATACCCATGAACTCGTTGATACACACCGGAGGAGCTTTGCTCCCGAAGCGTGCCCCTGAAGCATGCTCCAGGAGCAAAATCCCTCGTGTGTATCGGCCTTAAAGAAACAATTTCATGATACTGAGGACTGACGGGGACATTTGACTGCTTTTTATGGCAAAAGGTTTTTTAAACTTGGGATAAGAAGAAAGCAAGACCGACCGGCAAGAAAAAAAAAAGCGCGCCATTCCGGTGCTTTCTTGCATTTAAGCACTATAAAAAATATTTTTCACATTGTTTCACTGTAGACTCTTGAGCAATAATGAAGTACCATATTGTTTGGATAACTACAGCTGGCAGGACATTTTGTAAAATGTGTGACAAAAGTTTATATGATTATTACGGTAGTTTTACAAATGAAGGAAGTTGATGTTTGCAAATGATATATCAAGGACGTTAATTGTAAAATTTCAACTCTAGCTTGCCCTGCCACTTTCTGCTGTGGCATCACAACAACGCGGAAGGCTTATTATAATCGCGATAGCGGGTCATTATCTACAATTTACTTTATAAATAAAAAGCTCAAATAGCTAAAACCAAACTGACTCTTAAATGTATCACAAACCGCTTGCATGATCGTGACTCGTGGCTATCTACTATCTTATATCCATAGGCACCTGACAATCTATAACAAACGTACCTTCGAACCCAGACTTATTGTTGAACGTTTTTCTTCTTTAACCACAGGTAACCCAGGATCACTGTTTGTGTCACGTTTCATTACATGTATGGGTAAATATAGAGAACATATGGGGCGAAGTTTAGGTCTGGAAATTTGCTAGAAAGTGGAGATAAAAATCGATGAAACTTACCATGTAGCGAGTTGTTGTTGTCAATGTGGACACAAAGTTTTGGGAAAATAGTCTCCTTCACCTTTCCTTCAAGGAGACTATTTTTCCCGAAACTTGTTTACATTCAAGGACAACAACAACTCGCCGCATTGTAAGCTTCACCCAATGAGCCTGGGTTACCTGTGCTTTAACCAGATGTCTTCAATTCTGTGAGATTTCCCCTGGAAACAAACAGTCCTAAGAGTCTTTTCCACGTGATCTGACGTAGCCTGCGTAATATATAGATTTAGCCAGGGCTAAAAGCGAAGCTCCTATTAACTCGAATTTATAATTCAAATCAAACAATAAACTTGTATTCCACAAATCAGTTAACTTTAGAGCAGATTCATGTGACTTTTGAGGGAAAGACTACGTGATTTTCGAGAAAAATAATTTGCAAACAGTCCAAGCTAAGAGTGAACTTCATCTTACATCGAGTTGATAGCCTTTATATGTACACCCAAAAAATAGCAATCATCTTCGATCACATTTAAGAGCCATAATGGCTCTTGATCACAGTAGATTAGGCCTGGAAAACACCTGCGCCGTTTTCATCATACAGACCTCGGACAGAATGCAGTGTTTCACAATTTTGCAATACAAATTGCACTCATTCAATATTCAGGACGATCAAAGCACGTGTGGGCTTTTAGCGAAATCGTCAAAAAAATTTCCAAAATCACCTATACGGCTAGCCAGTTCTCACTTTTGACAAGTCGACTGTTTAAATTAAGATTAATATAGTTATACGCTTCAACACAATAAAGAATTTATTATAAAGATCTGTAATCTTCAAAAGCGTTTGATACGCGCGGCATTTTGACTACTCTTGCAAGCGATGTTCATGAGCGACTGAAAACAAACGGCACAGCGATTAAAATTGCAAAAGAGACTACTTACAATCAATAAAGAAAGGGAAAATAATTCGGTGAAACATATACAGAGACAACAATTTTCATTCACGAAGACAAGTATTACACATGTAAAGTGTCTCTGAAAATCCTTGTTTACGTTTTAAGCCGGCTTCCCGGTGTTTGCTTTTTTCAAAGACGAACTCGAGGCAAGAAAATCGCTCAAAGCTTTCTTTTACAGCCAGAATTGTAACCAAATATTCTTTGGAACGTTTTCTTTCTATTTGCGGTGAGAAAATGTCTAAAGGCTTTTTAAAGTTCCATAAGCTGATAATCAAACCTGATACTCGGTCACTCTCGGTCAGATCATTGTCTCAAATCTTACAAACGTGCATAAACCAAATAGCCGCGTAAACTACGCTCGACTTCATTAAATTAGATATAAAAAACAAACAAATACAATAATTACTCAGGCTTACCTTTTGAGATGCACTGAAAACTATCAAGTAAGGCCAGAACCGCTTCAGACTTTTCAACCGTCTTACGCATCAAGCAAGGTGAAAAACGAAAACGATGCCATCCGAATCGGATTTCCGACTTTGCCAAAGCGACGTATTTCTCAACCAAAAACCCAATAAACAAAC